GAGGCGGGGCGGGGCCCGCCCCGTCCGCAGGGACTTCTCCGTTGCCGGCCCCATCCCGGTCGCGGAGCGGCGGGTGCGCGTGGGGACGCCAGGCCTCGGCAGCTCTTTGCGGGAACGGCGCCGTGCGTGTTCCCACCTGCTGAGACGGGTACGTGCCCTACGGTGGGAGCGGTGCCAGCTTTCGGGGCCTGGCCGGCGGGGGGGGTCGGGTCGGGTCGGGTCTGCCGGCGGGAGGGGCTGGAGCCGGTGGCTTGGCGGCGCTGAGCCCGCCGGTGACCGCGGGGCGCGCTTCCTCCGCGCCCCACACTGCGGTGCGTGGCCCGTTCGGAGGCGCTTCCCGGCTCTGCCGGGCGGTATTACAGCAAAACTTCAACGCTCCGCGAAGCGGAAAGGCTGTGGGTGACCCCCTGTCCTGCTGGCCTCGTAACGCCGTGGCTCCGTGGCCCCGGCCCTGCCCTACCTTGCCCTGCCCGGCGGGATAACCTGGCGTGTGGGTATTGGGTGGAAAACGCGGCGGCTGGAATAACACTTGCTTCTTGAGCCATGAGGCATGGCCTGCCGAACGTCCGTTTAACTTCACGCTCCTTGGGTAGGAGTTCATTAATATTTTGGGGTGTTTTCCTGCCTCCTCTTACGGTTGTGGAAATCTAGCACAGCAAGTGTTTCTCTAGGCGTCCGTTCAAATGCTTGACAGAGAGAATCTGAGAAATAGGCTGTGTATCGGGGGGTGGGGTGGTGGGGTGTTTTTCTTGAGCATAAACTGTTTTCAGACACTGAGCTTTGTCAGATGTTTAGGGATCCTGGCCTGGGTGAACTTTTATTTTGTACACTTAACAGCTGTAAGCCTTCAGTGGAATGTTATGGGCGGAGATGAAATTCTTCTGTGCACCTGTATGGTGTAAAAATGCTGTGAAGCCTCTGTATAGCCTTGTGGTATGAATGTTGATTTTTGTGTATTTATTTTAGCGTCATGAGGGAATTAGCTCTCCAGTGATGTTCTTTTAGAGAAATACATGCGTACGCTACCTTTACAGGTTATATTTCATGAAAAGGCTTCCCTGTTTTGCAGGTAGCTTTCAGTGTGTGTTTTGCACCTGCATATAATGATGGGTGACAGGATGCAGCTGATGGGATAGCCCCACCTTCTGGTTAATCCTTCAGTGAAGTCATACTTGTGACCTAGGAGTTTTTCTGGAAATTATACCTCATGATGTGCATTGTGACTGCAAGTGCAAGTCTGTGTTGGAGTATCTATTTATTTGGGGGGCTGGGGAGTGGCAAGATAATCTCCTTTTCTGGAGACCTTCCTATTTAACATCAAGATAATTTTATCATGTGCCCCTATTTCAGCAGAACAAATTTTTGTTAGTTTCTGATGTCTCAATTCACCACTGTGACCTTTTTTTTTAATACGAGCATAAAATAAGGGAAGTACAATTTTTTTATTTGAAAGCTTCCTAAAAATAAGTTTCTCCCTTTTTTTTTCAAAAAGGGAGGAAAGGGTCCGAAACCAACAAGTAGTCTTAGTGTGTGAAGTGACACCTGATCTATGTTTGTGTGAAGTGATACCTGATCTCAGGCTTAGCTTTCAGTTCAGGTTTTGGACATGGCAGCACTCGTAGTTAGTATTCAAGCAATTCACAGATTGTCTTCCAAATGGAAGCTTTTGAACTTGAAAAATATTCAGTTTTCTTGGTAGTAGATGGTATCACACAATCAGCTGATTTATATCAGTTAGCTTACTGCTGCTGGGAGCAACTTCCCTGAAATTATGCGTGAGAAACTGCAATTAGAGAGGGAGAACTTGGGAGAAGGCTGTCTGAAGTCCTCTTGGCTTACAGAAGTAACTTTCTATTTCACCTCATGTTTAGGTTTTAGTCTAGGAAAGACAGTCAGCTTGCAACTCAACAACTTGTCAGCAATGTATCTTATGATGAGAGACTTTGCAGTCTTTAAAATTCATGGTGATACTCTGCTGGACATATCTGGGAACCACCTGTTTTTTGGCTCTCAATATGTTACTTGAAACTTCTCCTTGAATTCCAATATCTGTGAGCTGCTTGCTCTTAGGAGATTGCTCCTGTGATATGAATTGCTAATGTCCGAAAGAACTGAATGCTGCTCAAGTCATCCTGGCCCTGGAGTATAACTGCAGTAATTGAAGTGTTTGAACTCCTTAAACAACTGAGAGGGGAAGTCAGGTTTCTTGGAGTGAGTGTGAGAGTGCTGAACAAGGCAGCTGCTTGTATGAGTGCTTAGGAGGGATTTGTAATGGCAGTGTATCTCTGGGTATGTTTTCAAGCCCTGCCGCTATCCACAGCTTAACTGTCCAATATCCTGTGCTAAGCATCGAGAAGATTATGAACTGTTCAGTGTGTGTCCTGGATACGTGGACAATTCAGCATGGTTTACATTTGGAAATACAGTTTTGTAACAGTTAAACAGAGAAGGGCTGGGGAAGGGGAACACCCAAATATCCTTCCTTTCTTTTGCAACAGCTGCAGAAATGACAGTCCTGAAACTGTCATCCTAAACCTTAATGCATTAAAAAGCACATATAAGTTTTCCCCACATTTTTAAAAAACCTTATAACTTATGAGAAGCAGGATGCCTAGGGTTTTGTGTACTGGAGGTAGGTAATACTGTTTTAATTGTTTCAAGTATAATTCATAAGCTAAATGGTACCAATCAAGGTTTTGAAAGCGAGAATGGTTGCTGTGAGTTTTACGAATTGCAAGATGATTGTGTTTCTGCATGCTAATGAGGTTGAAGGGCTGGAAGTGTATTTGAGTAGATAAATCTGTAGCTCCATGTTGCAGATTTTTTTTTTTTTCATTTCTTCTTTTACCTTCTGGATTAAAAACAGGCCTGAGGATTTGCTTTAACTCAGCTGGTGAACTAGCAAGTTGAGATGTTTGGGTTGGTGTCTTCACAGACTGACCTTAGCCATCAAGGAGCAGTTACTGGGTTAGGTGCTAGAAACCACCTCTGACATTTAGCACTATATCAATGAAGCATTTCCAAGAGTTAGGCAAAGTTACTGGGATTCCAGTTCTTGTTCAGATTTTGGTGTAGGGAAATGCTTAGTTCCCGCGATGACTGTCCTTTCTCTCCTGGCTATTTTTATTGCCCCCCTCTGCCTCCCTGTGCCATTCACCTTCTACGTCATGAAAGGGTTATGCTGGCTGGGCAAGAAGTAGCTGACTTTTGCAGCATTTCTGTGAACTTAAATCATGCAAACTTTGATTGTGATACTCTGTGAGCCTGGTGATGGCAAGTTTGTCCTGTCTTGAGGAGTAACCTTATGCTTGCCATGCAGGTAACTTTCTAGGAGCTTCTTTCCAGGCAAGAAATGAAGTACTGTTTTCTTATTTTGCTCTTTTCCTGATAAATGCTTTTTTTTTTCTTTTTTTTTTTTTTAAACCATTCACCTGTATCAGACTTCGTTTTTACAGTTAAGTGGACTGGTGGTAATTGGCTGCATGCCACAGTTTGCAAGCTGCTGTACAGGGCTGTGGTGCTTTGGTCTTCTTTGAAGCTTTATGTATGTCATTTTGAATGTCTGATTATATACTGCAGTTTATCTAGTAACATCAAAAAGTCAGCACTTTGCTATAATGCAGCAACGGGTAAACTAATCAGCTGGCTTTTTTGTTTCCTGCTGTAAATATTTATAGCAAAGGGTGCAAAGAAAAGGCAGTAGCTTAATTTCAGAAGTATTTTTTCTTTGACTAGTAAAGGTTGTTAGCCTTTCCAATGTATTTTGAATTTGAAAATTAGATTCTTTTCCACCAAAAACTTAAGATTTTTTTTTCTACTTAGAGGAATTGTTAGCTTTAGTCATTAGATAAAGGGTTATTTTATGCCATTTCCACATGAAGTCTTACATCTAGAAGAAAAGTACCTCTAGTTTTTTATAGTGTCTTGAACAAACTTTTTCTCATGGAAGAAATACTTTTAACATACTCTTAGGTATATTATTATTTTTTGATGACACTTAAAGCTTTTTGTACTGCTGCGCATTAAAGTTAGGAAGAGATAACTCTTAGGAAGAGATAACTGTTTAGTGTGTACTCAAAGTCATTCTGTCCTAATTGATGCTTTAAGAAACAGCTGTTCCTGAAAAACGTCTCTCTCTGGGCTATTGACTAGGACTTTAATTCCTATGAGGCTTCCACAAAGGAAGATTGGGGGTGGGGTGGGAAGTCTATGTTTTTGTTTCCCTGTGCTTGTAGAAGAAGGTTTGGGAACTGGGCTAGGAATAGGCAACTTTGGAAAACAAATTTTCACTGCCATGTTAGTTGTAACTCTTTAGGCATATGGGTTCTGTTTACTAGATTGTGGTGGAGTACAGTGTAGGATTTGCCAACTTTAAACTTAAGTTGTGAAGTGTCCTGGTTTCGGCTAGGATAGAGTTAATTTTTGTTTTAGTAGCTGGTATAGTGTTGGTATTTTGGATTTAGTATGAGAGTTATGCTGATAGCACACTGATGTTTTTGGTTGTTGCTAAGTAGTGTGTATAATAAATGAAGGATTTTTCAGCTTCTCATGCCCAGCCAGCAAGAAGGCTGGAGGGGTGCAAGAAGTTGGGAGGGGACACAGCCAGGGCAACTGACCCAAACTGGCCAAAGAGGTATTCCATACCATGGGACGTCATGTCCAGTATGTGAACTGGGGGGAGTCAGCCGGCGGGGGGAGGGGGTCAGGTCGCTGCTCTGGAACTAACTGGGCATTGGTCTGTGAGTGGTGACCAATTGCATTGTGCATCACTTGGTTTGTATATTCCAGTCCTTTTATTATTATTATTGTAATTTTATTATTATTGTCTTCCTTTCTGTCCTATTAAACTGTCTTTGTCTCAATCCACAAGTTTTACTTTTTTCCCCCGATTCTCTCCCCCATCCCATTAGGTGGGGGGAAGTGAGCGAGTGGCTGTGTGGTGCCTAGTTGCTAGCTGGGGTTAAACCATGACACAAACTTGAAGGATTTCCCCAGGTTTTCAATCACTAGAGTTTTAAGTTGGATTGTAGATAACCAAAACCTTTATGTATTGTACTGTGGATTGAGCTTTTCACAGTACAAATAACTGTGGCATCTCAAAATAGTCTGTGGGACTTTTAATCTAACATTAGGCCTTATGTTTTTATT